TTAAATGAAAGCTAGGTAAAAGATTAGGAAAAATGCCAATATGGGATCCTTTATGAGCTTTAGGCTGACCTATACCAGAGAGGCCTGTTCTATTACAAATCCTATATTTGAATACACTGCTGAATAAGACCTTCTTGGCAAACTCAGGCCATCACAGGCATGGACTGGAATAAACACTAACTTAGCTGAGGACTGAGGACCAAAATTAACTCACCTTGAAGATGGAGAGTAAGCCAGTCGTTGGTTACACTATCTCATACTGGTTATTTGTTATGGCACGAGAAAGGCAGTAGGCGAGAAAGATTCCAATCAGCTGGAAATAAAGTATGAGCAAAATTACACACATACAATAGTGAGCTTAAAAAGGTCCAGATAGGTCTATTTTCTTTTTACTTGTAATTCACTTATAATTTCCTGTTGTTGTTGTTGTTATGTGCCGTCGAGTCGGCCCCGACTCATAGCGACCCATCCTTGGGTTTCCGAGGCAGTATCACTACAGATGTAGGATTGCCCAACCTTCCTTCCAAGGAGTGGCTGGTGGGTTTGAACCACCAGCCTTCTGGTTAGCAGTCAAGTGCCTTAGACACTATGCTACCAGAGCGCCTTATAATTTCCAAGACAGTTACAATTAATGCAGAATATAAGTGATGTTTTAGTACTGCTGTCATTGGAGTCAAAGTACTGGGGAAACTTCTTACTCTTAGAAGTATGGAGATTTTCTTGAAAGGTAATACCTGTGCTATCCAATACAGTTGCCATTAACCACATATGGCTAATGAGCCCTTGAAATGTGGCTGGAACAAGTGAAGAAACTGTATTAGTCAGTGCAGATTTAGAGACATGCCATGGTGTTCTAGAAATACATTGAGACTAGACTTCCAGAATAAATTACAGAGGTCAATATGAATCATGTCAATATTTTTACTTTTACATTTTTTTCTTTTGGTAGAAAAAAATGTGACTTCTCTGAGAATGCCCTCAGTGTCCAGGCCCCTGAAGCAAAGCCTTTAAGCCTAACAGTGGAAGCCTCAGCCTTCTGTGTGGGACAAAGCATTTCATAACTACAAGGACTTACCTGGAAGCAAGCAACTCCAAAGGAAATTCCTGCAACGACTCCCATTTCTGATTCTATAATGGTCATTACCTTTATAAAGCAACCCTAAAAGGAGGAAAAAAAAAAAAACATTAAGAACAACACAAGCAATTTATGCTTTTGTAAATAAACACTCTGATTATATATTTCGCAGAAAGATGGGCTTTAGCTACCATAGCCTTTGTTTTATTGAAATTGATTGATTCCCTTCCACAGCAAAAATGCGAATTTAAAGAGGGAAGGACTGTTATTCGCAACCAGTTCCACCTATGCATTACAGGGGAGGTGGGGAAAGCGAGTCAACTCTCTAATTGTTTAAGTACTCAAATATTCTTGAATAAAAAGCTTTAAAAGGCTTCTTACTTCATGGTTTACTTTACTTGCATCTTTGTTCGGAGAACATTCAGTTTTACAGCAGCTCTTGGGATATCCTTGCTCTGAGTAATAATTAGTATCTTCCCAATCTGTGTATTTGGTGACACCACAACAATGCAACTGAAAAAATCCAACAAAAGCACTTATAGTACGCATCACTACTTTATAACATTTAACCTGTATCTTAGACTGCAATTTGTGCTATTTTAATGATCTCTAGTCTCGTATGTTAAAATGGCTGTCCTCAGTTGGCTAGGGCCTGTCAGCACCAGCATTCACAGAAAAATATCCTCCTCTCTGAAGGGTTCAGGAAATGTGTTCCCCTCTTCAGGAGCCACCAAGCATAACTACTTACTGTATTTTGGATCTTGTCTACTGCATCACTTCTATAGTCTCCTGTAGTGTTATATTGCTTCAGAGCCTTTTCATAATTATTCTTAAAGCTGTTCTTAATCTAAAGCAAAGAAATGCAATGTTACTAGTTTCTAGAAAGTTCTTTTGGCTTCTAGATCAATGAAAGTTCTTTTGGCTTCTAGATCAATGAAGAAACACCTGCATCTGACCAATGGTCCATCTACGACAAGTTCAAAGTGCTATGATGACATGTATTTAAAAGTGGCAGTGTTTACTCTTATATCCTCTCTCCCCCAGGGTAATATGAGGGTGGTTTCTATAAGTGAACACAACATTTTAATATTCCCAAAATCAGACTTACCTCGTGTCTAAAAACAAATCCTACGATGGCAGCAACCAGTTCAACCAAAAAAATGAGAGTCAGAAACATTGCATACTAAGGGATACAAAGAAAGTCCAAGTCAGCATAAATAAGATCTATCACAGCTGCAAAAGGAGTCAGCATATTTTTTTTATTGAGGGCAGGGAAAACACAATTAACAAAATGTCCATTTTGAAAGTGGGAATCAGTAGCTAAACCATTAGTGGGTAAGTTTTCATAAGGAGCAGGCAACACTGTAAAGGGCCAGGGCCAGGGCCAGGGCCAGTTCCAAGAGAACAAAGCCTTCAACATAAAACTTTTCTCAAACCAAGAATCAATTCCAAGGACTCACCAGTTTTAGCATCCATGCAGAAGCTCGGCAGGTAGCAAAACAGCCAAAGGTGCCCAAAAGAATTATGACAGTGCCAGTGCCAATGAGCACGAAGGGAACATTGGTGGCCTTCTCATTTAAGAGGGAAAAATAATTCTCCAGGCTCACCTTGCCCCAAATGCCAACGGCAAGAAGGATAACACCAGTGATCTATGTGGGAAATCATAAAACAGAAACAGTTATATACTGAATGCATCAGTGTTTTCAAACCACAAACCACTAGGTATTTAAAAAGACACAATCGGTGTGAGAACTGATTGATCAGACTGGTGACCCACAGGTAAAGGGGGGGGCACAGAAGCGAAAGGGGATAAAAGGGGGTGTGCACATAAAGGGAGGCTTGGATCTACACTGGATCACTAGGTAGCTGCAGCCAGGGCAAAATCAGGGAGCAACTAGACAAGGCATCTTCAGAAAATTCTTAAACTTCATCGTGTGCGTGTGCGTGTGCGTGTGCGTGTGTGTGTGTGCGCGCGCGTGTGTGTAAACGCAAGCCCATTGGCATATTTTCCCTAGGGATCAAAATTTCCTTAAAACGTTCCCGGAGAGTGGAAAAATGTTTGAGTTCCAGAAACTCTCCCCTCCCCCACCCTCGGGTACAAAGGGATGGCACACAAAAGCCTGCTCGAGGACAGATTGGCGGGAGTGGGATACCATACTTACCTGCTCGATACTCCCTTCTTATGAAGCAGTAAAAAGAGTAAAGGGACTATTAAGCGAGCGAGCCCTCAGACGGGCCAGGCAAGCCTCGCCTCTCCAAAGGTCCCTGGACACCCCTTCCGTGCTCCCTTTCCTCGCCCCCCGCACGGAACTCGCACGCCAGGCACGTCTGGGTCCCCGCCCAGCCTGCCGGCTGCCTGCACTGCATACCTACTGGCCGGGTTCGGGCCCCAGCAACTCGTTGTCAACGCCGGGGTCCCAAGAACTGATCCCGCACCTCGCCCCCTACCCTGACCTGAGCCTCGAATCCCTCCGCTCGAGGTCCAGGTCACACCTCCCACCCAAGCCCGGGATCCCCCCTCTCGTCCCGGGCGCCGCCGTTTCTTACCCAGAAGATGAAAGTGTAGATCAAGAGGACGCTCTTCAAACAAGTAATGACTGGTTTAGTCTGCAGTCTCCGTGACGGGGACGCCATGACTAGCC